AGTAACATTCCGATTTTGTTGAAGGGAAGCCACCATTTATATCAAACCGGGCGTTTCAAACGCTTGACACATGGATTAATGCGTAGATAGAGAGTACGAGTACAGATTTTAGAAATAAAATCACATAGGTTGCCACTTGGTTGTCACAAGTTATGGCGGCGGGGCAGGGACGAGACAATCTGGGGACTAGAACGTTACTCCCCTTCTTATTTCTCCTCACAGTTAGATCAGATAAAACGTCTGTTGAAATGGGAGAAAAATAAAGGGATATTTTTTCCCTTTTGACAAAAGGAACAAACAATCAGTCAAGTATAGACACCATCTTTAGTGGGAAGTTAATCGCTATATACGTTAAGCAGAGTTGAGCCAGGATACAATTACACAAATCCTGCCCCTCTCCCCGCCTCCCCCCACCAAAACCCCTTCAAAAAGTAAATAGATAAAATTCAAAATTTGTCCTTTGATTAAAGACCAAACTAAGTTTTAAAATCCCTTTTCCCTTTTTCTTTTTCATTGATTGTGGTCAATCATAATTTTAGCGAAGCTATTAGTATCACATGCTTTTACCGTATGGCAGAAACTCGCGAAGTTTTAGGGAGAATGGCCTAGATGGCCATGAAAGGGGTTTGCGGAAAACGCGGAATCCAAACACCCACCCCGAATTCTGATTAGAGTTTGGAAACTAAGTGAATCAAGTTTCAAGTAAGCTTGCTGAGCGTTAGTGGAATCTGATACACTCATGTATTCCTCAGCCTAATAACTTAACTTCAGATTCACGCGGCTATTTTTTCCGGGGTGAAACTGAGACATCTTCGGGTTGGCGGAAACATTAAGCAGCCTCTCCGTCATGAGAATTACCAGTGGTTATTTTACGTTACCACCTGTCTTTTTTGGTTTGTTTTGTTTTGTTTTTTTTCCCTAGGGACGAGAAGCGACGAGATAATAACTTCCACCTTTCTATTTTTGAAGAAACATTTCCGTTACTTTTTCCTTTGAAAAATATACCTTTTTCCGTACTTTGAAGATGTTCTCTATCTACCCTCTCCCCCCCCCCCATTTTGACTGTCAGAACGATCGAGTCCGATTTACCGAGAAATCGGACCCGATTGAGTTTCCCTCTGACAGGATCAGACATTCAGAAATCGGGCCCGATTTAAGACAATTCGGGCCCGATTAATTTAAAGCGACTCCGATTACTTTATCGGGCCCGATTTAACAAGAATTCAAGCCCGATTAGTTTTGGAATCCGATCTGAAACATATCGGACCCGACTAGAAAACGGACCCGATTTGTTATCGTGTTCGATTAAATGAAATCGGGTCCGAGTTAATATTCGGGTCCGACTGAAAAAAATCGGACCCGATTACCCAGAAACCGGTAAACATCCAACTTTTCTCGGCCATTGTTTGCAACTCTTATGATTGGTTGAAACCTTTATTAACACGATGAAAATACCCCTTAACAAGCAAATCTTTACGAAAACTCGAGATTTCAATTAAACACGACAGAGAAAACTACAAGAAACAACGGCGCCTTGCCTTAAGGAACCTGGCCACCATTTTGCACTTACAAAGGACAGCAAAAGCTGCACAAGAAACAGGCTGGGAAGCACAATTTAAACTTCTGGCGATTCCATATAACCCATTAGACTATTGTTTGCGAAAAGATTTTTTAAGTGTGATTTGACTTGCAATGTTTGAAAATTCTGTGAAGATTCTGTAAAGATCAAACGTATGCGCATACCGATTTTCACACAGGAATTGATCCATCAATTGAACTTGAATGGTTTCCTTACTGGTTTTGTTGAGACTCTTTTCAATCTCAGTGAATAGTGGCTTTAGGATTATTAACGTCGCCGCGAATATTCAGCTTCTATTCACCTCGTGTTCAAAGAGTAAGTGCGTTTAAATTGTTAATTGTCCAATGTGAAGTGCGGAAAAAAATATCAGTCAAGCAGGAAAAGGTGTGTTCCCAAGATTCCTGGTCACGTCCTTGAAAAAAATACTTGAACCCTTTATAGGTTTTTTTCCTTCCTCGGGAGTCAACAGAAAATACGTCTACACAGTCGCTTGTACGGTCGTCTTTGTAGGACCCGCTGGCCGCCAGTTTGTGTTCAACGCTTATTCCGGCCGCAATGCTACTTGTCCTCTTTCCAGCTGTTCCAACAAAAACGCGGTCGCTTTAACTGTATTATTTTGTACCCTTGCTCGTAAAGGAACCGTTTGTGTAGAAGTTTAAGCCAGTTCTTCGTTCCCTCCTTTTAAGCGGCCATTTTTTTCATTTTTTGACCCCGCCTCGCTTTGGCGTGCTGAATCTTAAAGAAGTCAACCAGTTTACCGGCAACTGTTTTCGCATGGTCCGCATAGTTCTAAAAATAACTTATTTGAAATTAAAATATCCCAAAGGCGTGACTGGGACACTCCCTCTCTGTCCTATTATGGCTCTTGACGTGGCCTTATATTTATGCCCGTAGCTATTTTCTCAAGCTTGGTTCTAGCGTGAAAGCATTTACAATTGTAGTTGTTTATCTTGCAAGAAGTTTCCTTTAAAGGTAAGGTTATTCTGGCTTTCTGTTGGCGCGGATTCTACCGTTGTAGGGACCACAGAAAGCAGATGAAGCCAGCAAGAATCGGCATTCTGTATAATCACGCCTGTGCCTTTACACCTCCATGTCGTGTTTCGGAAGGAAAATAGTGACGAGATATACATCTAAGAAGGCCGGCTGTCCTTCAGCCTGCGTAGAAAGCGTTTCGTTTGGTTTTTCAGAGCAAAGAAAGACCGAGTAGTACGCGAAACCAATTGCGTTATCCACTGGATAGTGACTTATCCAGTGGATACTGAACAAAATGGAGCCTGGCAGTGTTTCAAGTGAAATTAAAGAAAAAAAAACGGGTTATAGCAAACATTTTGTAATTTCTCGTAACTTCCCCTGTCTAATAGCTTCTTTACTGAGTTGTTTGCTCGGGTTTTTTTTTCCGTTCGTTTTTTGTGGTTAGGGATTTCTGTTGAAGTGGCTGTAAAAATAATTTTTTTTATTATACTTGGGCGGCCCGTGAGGGCAACGCCCAATCATAAAATGGAGGCCAACTCGGCTGTGCAGCAAAAAGACAAAAAGGCGGACGGAACTCCCAGAAGGCTTTGCGTGTCCCATTCCTCTTCAATGGGGCCGATTTCAGCGGAGAGGGGACAGGTCATTTCAAGTCATCTGGCGAACTGATTTGGAATTCGATTTGGAACGAACACAAAATTTTTGCGTCAAGTTATTAAGCCTATATCTACGCCGAATAATTAACTAAATACAGCATTCGAAAGTCGATATCAGCTTGTGCGGGAGCTGCAGAAACAATGCCATCCCACGATCCCCAAGGGAGAAGCTTTAACCCGTTGCAACTCTCTCCCTACGTGTGAATCGAAAGTAACAAGAAGGAATATACTATTTGTATATCGTCCCGTTGAAGAGAAACATATTCACGTGGATAGTTAGAAGGTCTTTAAGAGCGGATGTCAGTAGATATCGACCAGAGGTCTACAAAAGTGAAAAATCGAAAATTCTCAAAAAAATTCACAAAGTAGCACTAGGTAAGCTGTTAACATAAATGTAATTTTTATTTCGATCCGATAATTATTTTAGACGTACGGTGGGGTTATTGGTTTCGCGGCTCTCGGACAGGGGTTTTACAGGCCCGAGATGGCGTGTCATGAAAAAATCGTTTTAAAAATCAAATCAATTGTAATGCGAACAACAAATAACTTATTCAGAAAAGTACATAATTATACACGTTTTAAGGGGTGATTTACTCAGTTCGAACGAAAATGTAATATTTTGGAGATTTTTCATTATTTCAAATATTTTGAACGTTTTCGTTTGACAAAAAAAATGGCAAATTTCAAAGCCCAAAATCGTCGACTGGTACCTCGATTTCACTAAAGAGTCTTGCACCACGTTAAAGAGCGTTATCTCTTCTTTCAAAATCTGTTTTCAAAACTATGGGCAACTTAAAAGAAAATTTTTGAGGCCAAAAATTACAAGTAGTACTTTTCTGAAATTTGAGCTTTCCTCGCTAAGCGGGCCGATGCTAAAAACTCGGAAAAATACGAAAAGAAATCAGTTTCAGCAACAGTGGTTTGATGTTATCAGCTTTCACAAACCAAGATGTGTTTATCCAGCGATCTCATATAACTTAAAATCATTTGCTCACAAGAAAGGCAAATTTACGCTGTCAACTCTTGCAAAGTGCACGAGTCACGTATTTAAAGTTTGTCAAAGGGCAAAGCGCTATAATAAACCAGATAAACTTCAACAATCACAACGTTTTTGCGTCTAGGAATTAAATTTTACCGAACAGAACAATGCCTATGAGTGTATGTTTCATACCTTACCATGGGTTTCCTAGATATTGGAATTAAAAAACCAAGGGGATTAAGGACAGCATCGGCAAGACCATCTTTGGCTGCTCTCAAACGGCGACGGAGATTGCGTTACTTTTCACAGATTGACCGCTTAACACCTGTTTTTGGCCTCGTATTTCGACGCAACACTTGCGACTTGCGTTGCGCGCGGCACTGATACTTTATGACCAAGTTCTGAAATCGTCTTCACGAGACATTTAACTGAATTTATGATAAAAATGCTTTCTTACGAATCGGAATGTTTCCATTTCTTCCAACTCCGTTTACGACTCCGTCGCTTACGTTCCGCTTATGAACTAGTGAAAACCAGATTAACGGAGTCGGAAGCAGAAGCGGAAGGATAAACCAATCACAATGCACGTTTACACGCTTTGTGATTCGTTTAGTTCTTCCTCTTCTGCTTCCGACTGCGACAATCCGGTTTTCATTAGTAAGCGCAACGTAAGCGACAGAGTTGTAAGCGGAATGGGAACGCTGTTTTCACTAGATCATAAGTTTTTTTGTAAGATTTTGTGCTGACTTTTCCAAGATCTTCATATCCTTTTTCAATCTAGCATTTCAACTATAACTCCATGATACCAATTTTCCGCCTATTTGTCCTTAACTCGGCAGTCGTCAGAATCTTGTAAGAGTTTATCTTCATTTCTATTGTTGGTTAAATCAATGCACATTCGGTCCGTCCATCGTGTCCTACCATGGTGTAATCCTTCCTTCACTCATTTTGTTCGGGTTTTCGCTTTTTAAAATTCGCTGAGGGGGTGGTAGTTTGTATTCAAGGTTAAATATAAAAATTACGAGAACGAGCTCCAGAAAACCGCCATTCTTTATTTAACCTACCTTTAGATTATAAATAAAGTATTTTCTCCTACCTTGGCAAGTTTTTCCATCGCCACTGTATCCAGCCTGGCAGATACAGTGGTACGATCCACGAGTATTGGAGCAAATGGCATTAACGTCACATACAGAAGGAGAAGCACTGCACTCATCAATGTCTAAGAAAAACAAAATTTGGTAAAAATAACTTTCCTAATGGATATATTCAGTCCTGTCCAATCCATGCGGAAAGCACTGGGGGATTAAAATTCCTCAAAAGGGAAACAAAATGTTGCTGAGTTTTCATCTAGCTGCTAATTGTTAGTGCTGTCTTCAGTAGCTACATGTATAGCACGATGCAGTTTTTTTTAATTTCCCTTTTCTTTTTTGTTAGGTTTCTCTTTCGTCATAGTAGGTGGGCAAAAAACATCACTTTTGTTAAGTAACTGACTTTAAAGGTTACATTTACGCGCGGCCCCTAAAAGAAACGTGGTGCACAAGCATCCCGATGTTGTGTAATACTGAGAAACTATAATGCGGATCTCATTACTAGTCGCCATCTTAAATGATGTCACACTTTCCTAGAAAACTACCATCTTTAATGGTAGAGCAGTAAACTAACTATACCTAGTTCAAACCCTGTTAAATAAAGTATTTTCTCCTACCTTGGCAAGTTTTTCCATCGCCCGTATACCCTTCCTTGCAGGTGCAGTAAAAAGATCCACGAGTATTTGAAGCGTTGGCTTTTAGCTAAGCCGTTTAAAAATTGCCAAAATCACCTATACGGTCAGCCGGTTCTCACTTTTGCAGTGCGAGTTGTAGCGAGTATTTGAACGAACATGAATAGAGTTAAGCTCCAACATAACAAAGAATTAATTATGTTTATTTTTTATTGAAAGGTTTTATCGATGTGTAGTCCTTAAAAGCATTTGATAGCAGTTAGTGTTGATGTCACATACAGGAGAAGCACTGCATTCGTCAATGTCTACACAAACAAACATTATTGAGCGCATTTACCCCTACAGAAGACCCCAAGAGTACTCAGTCCTATCTAACATACGTCTGCTAGCAGCAGTTTTTAGTAGGGACTTAAAGATCAAAGGACGCGACGGCAACGAGAACGTCGCTTAAAATGTGAATTTGCGTTCTTTTAGTCTTTATCGCAATTATTCCTACCCACTTACTTTGTCAAATGTAGGCGAACCCTCCTGAAGTTGAATTCCTCGGTGCAGAGAGAGAAACAAACTTTCGTCGTTGCTTGCTTACGTACTCCATAAAACGCGAAAGTAGGCAATTTCACGTCGTGGTTGTGCAAAAACAGGCAAAGAAATGTACAAAAAGGCGTGATGCACCTGCAGACTTGTTGTTTTACTCATTAAACCTATCGTTTTTTTACGTTCTTGTTGCCGTCCGCGTCGTTGGATCCTAAAGTTCTTATTGTCGATCGTTATGCGACGACATTAAAACACGGCTGTGTAGCAGACTATAAAAAATCTAACCTGAGTTTTTGCTCTTAAAATTTCCTTTTTTCAAGTCTTATTTTGTGTGTCCGATTAGTTTACATCTCCAGGTTAACCTTAGTCAGCGATGCAGCGTAATAAAAAACCGTAAGATTTTTTTAATTTTATCTTTTCAGTTGTCATGACAAATAACAGACAAAAAGGAAAGCTGCATTTGTTAGAGGGCTCAAGAATCAGTGGACGATTATGAAACTGACTAAACTCACCGTTGGTCTTCATATTGCAATAAGCCAGAACAGATGTACCAGATTTTATAGTGGAAAACCAGTATTTTCCGCTAACAGCGTGTCCTTCACTCCTCTTTATTTTGTCACAATTCTCAGCTGGCAGTTCTTGAATCGAACCAAGGGGAACTGAAGGTCAAAAACAATTCTTCATTAATTTATCATTATGCCCATTTTTTACTTTATGTGCCCGCGTGGGGGGACAAGAACAGCACTTGGTGCTAACGGCGAGAAGTAGAAGGAATGGGGAAAAGGTCAGTAGGGAAAAGACTATATCCAACAATTGTAATAAGAATATACAATAATCATATAAACAACAACAACAACAACAAAAACGCAATTAAGACAAAAATCGAAATAAAACGAAAAAATGAATCGAACCCAGAACATTCTATTTTTCGCGTGGGAAGCTAAAAATGAGGGGGCTATAAATAGTGTATTAAGCGCTGAAGTGTAGTTTTTCCCTAGCTATTTAAGCTAGGTTATTCTTTAGTCTTTAGTCGGTCCCTTCCCCGATAGGCTATTATAGGGAGATCCCCTTCCTCATGGTATGTTGGCTCACCTCGCTTTAAATCTCGAGGATAGTAAGATCTTTCTGGGTTTGGAATGAAGTCCTCAGGCCTGGCTTCCTTTGTTCTGTTGTTAAACTCGCAGGTGAGAAGAGAGATTACCCAGTTAAAACTTTGGCATCGATTGTCTTCGCGACACTTGAATACGCATGTAAACGGAAGTTCAGCGACAACAGTGTCGTATACGTGTCCCCGTAGCATCCAGCCAATGATGGAGCTCTCGAATCTTCCACTTGCAGGACATTTTTGAGTAACTGCGTTGTAGAGCAGGAAAACCACAACTGACATACGTAATACTATTCTCGCCGTCATGTCTGGAACTTCCGGCTAAAAGTATAAAAAAGTATTTTGTTAAAACGCGTACATTACAAATGTTTTTTTGTGTGCTGTCTCTTCTAACCTTTTCCCATGTTTTAAGTACGTTACAAGAATGTTATGAGAGTTTCATGATCATAAACAAGCTGTATACAGCTGTATAATATTGCGAATTTTCCATTATGAGTTAAATGTTATAAACAAATCATTGGCTCATAAACAGCCAAAATGAATCGCCATCCCTTCGACGCTGTTTGATTCAAAATCTCCTTAACAGAGAGGAGTTAACGGAGAATCAGAAAAAAGAGGAAAAAAGACAACTGAAAGCCCCATTCACTAAACTTGGTTAGTTGTTTGCTTTCAAAGTAGCTGAAAGAGTGATTTTCCTTACCCGCCTATTGCCTTTCCCTTTTTTTTTGTTGCAAACAACTGAGCCCTTTGTAATCAACAACCTTAGTATTCTACTTAGAACATTGGTGAAAAAAAAAATTAAAACATAGGCTAGCCTAAGCCTCACAATTTCTGTCTTTAAATCTTTAAACCAAATAATTACGCTCGGATTTAGCCCATTGCATCGTTTCTTGTTGCATTCCCATGCCAACGCTAATCTTTAAAAAATGAGCCTAAACTTAGAACGACTTCCTCAATTCCATATGATCAGAGGGAAAATAACAGTTTTAAAAAGTACTCCTATTTTTGTTGAAAAATAGTAAAATCTATTAGAGGTACAGCTGTAACTTGTATAAATATAGGTTCGTCAATTGATGGTTTACAGATGGTGAAGAGATATTGACTCCGGAAGACACTCAGACGACAATTATTTCTTAGAAAACCAGTTGAGAATTGCGTAAAACTTTCACTTTTGCTATTTCCGTCCACCCACATTCCGCCAAAAACTAATCTTAGTAAGTGTATTTAAGATGGCCCGAACCTATTTATATGCGCATTGGTTATGTTTTTAAATCCCGTTTTTCGGCAGGAAGATTTGACCAATTTCTATGACTTTTGGCATCCTTAATAAAGAATGGTCGAACTTTAAAGAAACTGTTATTTATTATCTTGTAGGCATTAAAACGTTTGAGGTGTCTGCATAGGTTATAAAACCGCATTTTTACAAAAAAATGTCAATAATTTCGAAACCCTAAGACAGATTTTTCTCTAACTTTAGCACATAAGCCTCAGAGCTTTCTAGTTTTATATCTGCAAGTTTGAAGTCAATCGTGACCTTAGAGCTCGCTCGCTGCACAAATAGCTGGTCAACTTTAAACTTAAAATGCAACGCTAACACATTTGTGAAAGTTGACACGCACGTAGAGGGAAAACTGCCGACGGACTATCTCAGCTTAATTCTCCTTATTATGCTGAATGCAGGCCGAGATGAAGGAACATCTATCAAAGTTACTGTGTATTTGCCCTTCTCTTTTGAAGAAAAAATCTCAAGAAAGCAAGATATAGCATCTACGGAAATCTCCTACCAGTTTTTAGCACCGAAGGTTTCCGTCTTGAGGAGAAATAAAGCCACCAACTCCAGTACTTCAACCGATCCATTTTCAGCTGCAACGAAAACCCTTGTATTAGGTAATTTATTCAAACTTCTAAGATTTGCCGTCACATTTGCACGGGCAGTTTGCCACTGGGGATAATGAAAAGAATAAGATAAAGATGATTGTAATATTTTCTTCATCTTTATCCCCAAGCGGCAAACTTCCCGTGCGAATGTGATGTCAAGTCCAAAAAGCTTGAATAAATTACCAAATACAAGGGGTTTCATTGCGGCTAAAAAATGGACGGTTAGAAGTAATGGAGTTGTTGGCTTTATTTCTTCTCAAAGAACGGAAACCTGCGACGCTAAAAACTCTTGAGAGTTTTTCGTAGATCATGCTATATTTTGCCTTAAGACAGGAGTTTCGAAAAGAGAAGGACAAATACAAAAAATGTTTGATGAACGAAAGTTTTTTAATCTTGCCCCGCATTCAGCGTAAAGTTGTTCTTCTTGTACTGCGAACTGTATTCGCCGTAGGTTTCTGATTACCCAGATTTTTGCAACTGAAGCTTTGGGGAAGAATACCCTTGCAGATAGGAGATAGCACGTCGGCAGTTTTGCCTCCATTTGCGTGTCAACTTTCACAAATGTGTTAGCGTTGCATTTTAAGGTTAAAGTTGACCAGCTATTTGTGCAGCGAGCTCTAGGGTCACGATTGACTTCAAACTTATAGATATAAAACTAGAAAGCTCTGAGGCTTATTTGCTGAAGTTAGAGAAAAATCTGTCTTTGGGTTTCGAAATTATTGACATTTTTTTTAAAAAATGCGGTTTTATAACTTATGCCGACACCTCAAATGTTTCAATGCCTACAAGATAATAACTAAAATTTTCTTAAAGTTCGACCATTTTTTATTAAGGATGCCAAAAATCATTGAAATCGGTTAAATCTTTCCTGCCGAACTGAACGAGATTCAAAAACATAACCAACACGTACATAAATAGGTTCTGGTCACCTTAAAGTTAAAGAAAAGCTTTGATCGTTAAAACTAGGCAAAATAAAAGACCCAAATATTAAAGCCAGTGATATTACCATGAGCAAACTTAATAAGAACCTCAAAAAGTAAGAAACAAGCACTTGGAGTCTCTTAAAGAAATCTTGCTAAGAAAAATCAAAAAGTAAAAACTGCACTTACTTGAAATCTCTTACCATGCAGTTTCCTGTGAGTAGATTCTACGAATAAGTTGCGATATATTCGCAATAGCTATAGCGCAAACTGGGTTTTACCGATCACGCGCCGAATTTCTCTTCTGCTTATACTGTTACAAGCACATCAAGTTTTAATTTTGTTATCGATACTGTCAAATGGAACAATTAATTAACGGCCCGCCACCGGCTAATGGATTAAAATGTAAATGTCATCAGCCCACTTTCAGTTATTTAATTACCAAAAAGTGGATAACGCAACTCCATCGGCTATGATCGGATAAATCTGTATCCACTGGATATATACTGCAATTGGTTTTCCTAATACCTATCCACTGGATAGCGATTTTTCCGGTTGATAGCGCTATCCATCTTTTGAACAACCAGGGCCAGGAGGGTAATTTGATAAACGAGATGGAGATAGCCTATTATAAAAAACTTAAAATTTTCAGTTGGCTGCCGCAAATAATAACTTTTACAAAGACATAATAATCAATAATTTAATATGTCTATAAAATAATGTTTAGTAGGGCAATTTTACTTTAACCGTAAAATAGGTTGTAGAAAACTACGCGTTATTATGCCTTTTTTTTTTTCCAGAGTTTTCTTCATTTCATAGCTTTTAAAGAACACGAACACTAGACCAGCGGGATGATGTCATCACATAACATATAGATTTAGCCAGGGCTAAAAGCGAAGCTCGCATTAATAAATTTATTTAAATCAAACAATAAACTTGTAATCCACAAATCAGTTAACTTAAGGGCACATTCATGTGACTTCTGAGGGAAAGGATAAGTTATTTTAGAGTGAAACATCTTACATCGAGTTGACAGCCTAAATATACATGTATGTACACCCAAAAAATAGCAAACATCTTCTATCACATTCAAGAGCCATAATGGCTCTTGATCACAGTAGATTAGGCGTCGAAAATAAATTATTGGAAAAAAAAATCAGGCCGCATTTTTTTGCGTTCGACAGGTTTACTTACAAATTCTTGCCAACAAATCTGAGGGTGTGTAAACCAACCTTTTATACTTTTTATACATCACATCTGAGGTGAAACAGTACTTTTTATCATACAGACCTCGGACAGAATATGGCATTTCACAATTTTTCAATGTTCAGGACGATCAATCGTGGGCTTTTAGCGCAACCGTTCAAAAAATGTCCAAAATCACCCATACGGCCAGCCGGTTCTCATTTTTAGTGCGAGCTGTCAGTGTGGTCGAGTGTTTGAATGAACTTTAATGGAGATACGCTTCAACATAATAACGAATTTATTATCATTATTTTTTGTTATTTAATGGTTTCAGTTATAACGATGTGTAATCTTATAAAGCGTTTGATACGCGCGACATTTCTAAGTACTCCTGCAAGCGATGTTCATGAACGATGAAAACAAACACCACGGACAAGCGATTAAAATTGCAAGAGAGACTACTAACAATCAATAAAAGAAATATAATTCGGTAAAACATTTACAGAGACAACAATTTTCATTCACGAAGACAAGTATTAAAGTGTCTCTAAAAATCCTGAGTTTCTAAGCTTAAAGCTTAAGCTTAGGTTTATTTTGTTTTACTTTCAGCCGGCCTGCCGGTGTTTGTTTTTTTTTTTTTCAAAGATGAACTCCTCGAAGCAAGAAAATCACTCAAAGTTTTTTTTCTACAGCCAGATTTATAACTAAATATTCTTCAGAACGTTTTTTTTTTTCTATTTGCCGTGAGAAAATATATCTGAAGGCCTTTTAAAGTTCTGTAAGCTTATATCAAACCTGATACTAGATCAGATCATTGACTCAAATCTTAACAAACGTGCAAAAACTTGCCGCATAAACTGTGCTCGACTTCATGAAATTAGATATAACAAAAACAAACATCAAATACAATAATTACTCAGGCTTACCATTCGAGATTCAGTTCCTGAAAGATATCAAGGAAGGCCATAGTTGCTTGAGACTTTTAAACCCTCTTACACATTGAGCAAGGTGAAAGACGAAAACGATGCCATCCGAAATCGGATTACCCAATTTTGACAAGCGACGCATTTCTCAACCAAAAACCCAATAAACAAACCAGCCATGGATAACAGAAGATTCTTGATAGCAGCTATATTTCATTTTGTACATCCAGTGGAAGAAGACAGTTAAAAACATCACAAGTTGAGACAAAACTCTGTCAGCTTTAGCTATCGAAGTAAACAACTTTTAAGATGCTGCATAAATTTTCCGCATGAACTCACCTGTCAAATTTTGACCAATCAGAGTACAAAAATTGGA